TTCCTGAACTCCGTTTTCACTGGCAGAAGCACCGCGAGCTGGTCCTTTGCTGTTTCAAGGTGGCCCCCGCGGGCCAGATCTAAGCCCCCCCGCGGGTCCGATCCGGGCCCCCGGGCCTTGAGTTTGACCCCCCTGGCTTAGAGGCTTCTCTCCATCTTGGTGCCAAGGCCAAGAGAAGGTGGGGTAGGAGAGTAAGGGGCAAGGTGGGAGGGGAGAGGGAAGGCATTGGAGTGGAAGGGGAGGTTGGGATGCGGTTGGGAGCCCGAGACACAGCCAACTCCTCAAGGTCGCCGGATGTGGAAGTCCAAGGCAGACGGAAGGTTCCCGAAACCAAGAAGGTTAGAGGGATTATGGGTTAAGGGGAGGTCCAAGGAGGAAGGTTTTCCTATGTTTGTCGGTGGAGATTCTCCATCATGCGGGTCATGGTAGTCCCAAAGGTGCTTCCCCCCCTCCCCCCAAGGAGGCAACTGGACTTTCTGGCTTTTTTCTTCTGAAGACCTTTCGCTTCCCCTTGAAGAAGCTTCTTCAGCTCTGACTGGGGGGGAAAGGGAAGGATTGATACTCCTTGCAGAACAAGCGGGTCATTTGCACCCTTTTAGAGCAAGGCTCTTCAAACTTTTAAGACTTGTGGACTTCAACTCCCAGAATTCCTGAGCTAACATGGCTGGTGGAAGAATTCTGGGAGCTGAAGTCCACAAGTCTTAATGCTCTCAGGTTTGAAGTCCCCTGTTTTAGAGAGACGTTGAGGCCGCCTGGAGGTTTATCTCAGGTGTCCTCGGGGCCACCGGAGTGGTGCAAATAGGTGTGGAGCCTTCTTGGAACTGCTGAAAGGACTCTGTTGTAGACTGGAGATAGAGGATGTCGTACCCCTCCCTCCTCAGTTGAGGGAGGGCTGTTCAATTTGGACACTTCATGGCCTCTTGGTCCCCTCTTTCAAACCAGCGGTCCTCTCTGTCCAAAATGTGGACTTGGTTGTCTTCCAAAGGGCGGCCTGTGTCTTTTAAAATGCAGACGGACTGCTGAATCGAGTCCTGAAGGGTTTGTCCTCCCAGGTTGTGCCGTGCGCTTGTGAAGTGGCTGTTTTGTTTCCCCAATGCACAGATCTGCACAGGGCTCACCGCATTGTGCTGCGCGTACCATGTTGCTCAGTTTGGCCTGGGGGTTTGATCCTTGGGGTGGACATAATCTGTCTCCAGACTACAACACAGTCCTTTCAGCAGTTCCAAGAATT